TTTATTAGTGTATAGGTCGGATGTGTATTGTTTGTGTCTCTTTTCAGCTCCTCCTCTTAGCTCTAGGGGTCTAGGCATTTGTAGGGTTTTCTAGGTTATGGGGTATGGGCCTAGAAATTATAGGCTTGAAAATTATGGGCCTTTATGATTAGCTATGCTTAAAATTAGTTTAATTAACTAAAAATATATCCATATAGAAATATTAATTAGCTCTATTTAAGTAAAAATAATTATTAAAATAAGACTGGCTATTAAAACAAAACTATTTTTGGGTATTTTTCAAGATTAAAAATGACTACAAAACATTAATGAAACTATTTTTTTTGTAGTTTTTGTTTTCTTGTAATAAAATAAAGTAAAAGAGTAAAAATTAATTGAAATAGTTATATTAGGCCTAAATTAAATATTTACGTGCTAAAATATGAAAAATCTTGAGGAGGGTCAAAAATCACATGTCTACAGCTGCCCCTCTTTGATTGGAAACGCGAAGAGTTTTCAGACAAAGAATTACTAGACATGTTTTTTGACCCGACCCTTATTTGGAGAGACTAAAGCTAAGAGAAAAGAGGAATGTGACCGAGCCCTTGTATCTGAGCTGCCTACATATCCTTGGCTATAAAAGAATCAGGCCACGTGTAGTTCAGTGGTGAGTGGGATGATAGAGTATACCGAGGTGGAGAGTCGGTCGAGGTGCCGTTCCGTCGAGGTTCCGGTCCACGGTCCTGTTATTACATCAAAAATCAAAACATGAAAAAGACTAGCTAAGCCTGTCAACTACGAGTTACAAGATTCCTATCTATAAGTCTTCTGAAGCTTGATCTTGAGTCTTGAGTGGTTCTTCATGCAGACTTTAGATTTGAACCTTGACGCTTGCTAGTTGCAGGTACTCGTTCTCCTTCTTCTGCTTTTCGGATCAAGACCAGGCATGCAGTGCTTGTGACCTCGGCCATGTCTTGAGCAGCCCACATTTTTCATCAACTTTTACATTTGGATTAACCTCTTGCCTTTCTTTTTTTTTTTCCTTTATTGTGACTAACTTCTGTTGATCACCTCGGACTGTTGAATCGCATGCTTGCCGCAAGCTGCTTTTGTTGCTAACTTGAATTGTATTTTGAAGTGAATTCTCTTATTCTCCAGGTAGACGCCTGATTGCTGAACTTGAACCATCTTCTTTTGACCACTATTTCCTTCCCTTTGTTCTCCGGGTGGGCTCCTGATTTCAAGCATTTGAATTATCTTCCTTTCCTCCGAAACTTGCCTTATTCTCCCTTTGTTCTCCAGGTGGGCTCCTGATTGCCGAACTTCTTTTGAACCTTGCTGCTTCCCTTTGTTCTCCAGGCGTGCTCCTGATTGCTATCTTCCTTTGAACATTGCTGCTTCCCTTCGTTCTCCAGGTGGGCTCCTGATTACCAACACTTGCACTGCTTTTCCTCGAAATTTGAACTGCTTCCCTTTGTTCTTCAGGTGGGCTCCTAATTGTTGAACTCCTTTGAACCTCGTTGCTTCCCTTCGTTCTCCAGGTGGGCTCCTAATTGTTGTCTTCCTTTGAACATTGCTACGTCCCTTCGTTCTTCAGGTGGGCTCCTGATTGCTGTCTTCCTTTGAACATTGCTGCTTCTCTTCGTTCTCCAGGTGGGCTCCTGATTGCTGTATTCCTTTGATCATTGCTGCTTCCCTTCGTTCTCCAGGTGGGATCTTGATTACCAACACTTACGCTGCTTTTCCTCGAAACTTGAACTGCTTCCCTTTGTTCTTTAGGTGGGCTCCTAATTGCTGAACTCCTTTGAACCTTGTTGCTTCCCTTCATTCTCCAGGTGGGCTCCTGATTGCTGTCTTCCTTTGAACACTAATGCCTCCCTTCGTTCTTCAGGTGGGCTCCTGATTGCTGTCTTCCTTTGAACATTGCTGCTTCCATTTGTTCTCCGGGTGGGCTCCTGATTGCTGTCTTCCTTTGAACATTGCTGCTTCCATTTGTTCTCCGGGTGGGCTCCTGATTACCAATACTTGCACTGCTTTTCCTCGAAACTTGAACTGCTTCCCTTTGTTCTTCATGTGGGCTCCTGATTGCTGAAC